GCACATATTGTGTAACAATTTTTTGGAAATTTAACGTGTGGAATTTTTAGAAGGAACAGGTTAAGTTTTGCTGTATGAACTATCCAGTCAATTCAGTGCTATTTAGGTTCCTATACCGAGCCCATCATCATGATATCAAAGCACCTCTGATAAAGACATTTAGCTGACATTTTTCTTGCTAAAAGACACAGAAAACCGTAGTGTCTGATAGCAGTGGGCACACACGTCCCAGGAGCACAGCATGGCTGCTCATTCTCCCCTGGTTCTTTGCCTGGATTATGCTAGGTTTGGAGGGTTTAGCAGAAAAATCTACTGTGCCTTGTGTCTGGCAGAGCAGGGCAGACAGGACTGAATTCCTGACATCTGCTTCTGTTGAGATTACCTTTCTCGGCAGGCTGGCCCTGCCTTTGCCAGGCCGCTGGCTTTGCTTCAGTGCACATGCAGACAGCTGCTTAGTGGAACATTTTCAAAGGCACCTGAGTGACTTGGGAGCCCAAAACCCATTTTCAGAAATGACTTAGGTACTTAGGAGCCTGGGACTCACTGGAAGCCAGTGGGAGTCTGGCTCCCACGTCAACGAGGCACTTTTGAATATATTCCCCTCAGACCTGCACCCTCTCTCGGTCTTTGGTAAAAGAGGTCAGGAGAAAGACCAGTGGGGTCCTGCGCTCTTCCCTTCTACTTCCTGCTGGAGCCAGCCCACGGACAGACTGCAATTCTTGTCAAGGCCCAGGGCCGTACATTTCAGCTGGCCTGTGTCCCCCACAAACCCCTCAGCCGCGCTGTGATGGATGGCCTCCCTGACAGTAAGGTGTTTTCAGCCCCTGGATTGAAAACACTGTGATGAGAGAGTTACTGCTGCCCCAAAGCACCAGAGACTCCGGGCACAGCACACATTGTTCCTTAGGCACCTACATAAGTCTTAAACACGTTGGTAACTAAGTCACATGTCATGGGCAGAAGCTGTCTCCCACATCCTATTCCTTGGCCACCTGCAGCTCAGCCACTATGTTGAGGCTGCAGAGGGCAATGAGATGGATATGGAGTGCCATAAGGCAGGAATGGAGCCACGTAGCCACTGCACTTTCCACTCCACACACAAATTCTCTATGCTGTTACTCCCCACTAGACAGCTAACAAAGAGGTTGCAGAGGCCTTACAAGTGCCTTGTATTACTTTTTACATCAGTGTGTGAAAGTGCCACCCAATGAAGGCAAAATAATGGGGCAGTTCTTGGTCCAGAGCTGGCTGCTGGCCAAGGCAGCTTCCCAAGCCATCTCCAGCATTGTTGGAAGACACGTTCTGCTCCATACAAAGATTTGCAGCTAGGGGAGATGACAGTAGATATAAAAAAGTGCTGACAATTTTCAGTGATGCAGAATTAGCATATGCTGCTGCTGCTTCTTATATAAGGGATTTCTGACTAAACACAAATCAGAAGAGCAGACACTGAAATGTACTTTTAAACAACCCCCTTGAGACACTGCTATTGTGTAAATGTCTTCCCCCATGTATGAAACACACACAAATAGGATTCAGAGTAGCACGCTCTGCTACCTCAAGGACATAAGAACGGCCATACTGGGTCAGACCAAAGGTCCATCAAGCCCAGTATCCTGTCCTCTGACAGTGGCCAATGGCAGGTGCCCCAAAAGGAATGAACAGACAGGTTATCATCAAGTGATCCATGCCCTGTCACCCAATCCCAGCTTCTGGCAAACAGAGGCTAGGGACACCATTCCTGCCCATCCTGGCTAATAGCCACTGATGGACCTATCTTCCATGAATCTATCTAGCTCCCTTTTCAACCCCATTATAGTATTGGCCTTCACAACACCCTCTGGCAAGGAGTTCCAGAGGTTGACAGTGCACTGTGTGAAAAAATACTTTCTTGTGTTTGTTTTAAACCTGCTACCTGTTAATTTCATTTGGTGGCCCCTTGTTCTTGTATTATGAGAAGGAGTAAATAACACTTCCTTATTTACTTTCTCTATACCACTCATGATTTTATAGACCTCTATCATATTCCCCCCTTAGCCGCCTCTTTTCCAAGCTGAAAAGTCCCAGTCTTATTAATCTCTCCTCATACGGAAGCCGATCTATACCCCAATCACATTGCTATTCAGCTCTGAGGGGAATATTTCCTAGAAAACAATCCGACACAACAGGTGACAGCTCTTGGGGACATATCATAGCACAGCCCAAGCATTGTATGTCGTCTCTACACCCTTCAAAGGGGCCACCACAGTCCTTGGCATAAATGAGAGTGGTCCTGAGGGCCAAGCCTTCTTCTGCCCTAAGCTCACCCTCTACACAAGGGCCATGGGTAAGGAGGGAGCTTCCCAGGGTCACATGTGGCTGCACAACTCAGCTCCTGTACTTATACCACCACACACTCAGACACACAACTCTCAGAATTTCTCAGCAGCTCTTCAGCTATTGCAAATCAGATAACATGAGTGCTTGGTGGTGAGGTGTACCTGAGGCTGGTTTTCAGTGCAGGACTAAAATCTAAAACTGGACAGCCCTGAAGACGGCTTGGATCTGGGGTGGTGGAAGCAAATGTCAATGTTAGTGACACAGATGGAAATACCTGCTATGAAGGGGGTGTTTCCATTTGCCAAAGAGTTCTTGTGTTAGTGGCGGGTTGTCATTGTTAGCATATGCAGCACTAGCCAGAGAAAGATACACACGTTTCTAACCAAGCAGGAGGTCACATGGACACCAAGACTTTATATAATACAATAATGAACCCAGGGCAAATCAGATCTGACCTGAGGGCATGGATCTGGATGCGAACAAGCTCACCACTGAGGGGTACATACTTATGCAGCAGATGCAACTGGGAGGCTCCCTAACCCAGGAGGAAAGGCCTCATACAAAGCACAGTGACATACAGCTTTACTACAGATGTGAGTTGAATAAATGCCCTTGGTGAGCTCCCAGCACTGTATTACTGGGGTGCTGAGATATCACTGCATTGCACGGTGACGGCAACTAGTAACTTCAGCAAGGTGTGGAACATACTAAAGGTGAAAGGGTTTTAAAGGAATGAGCATTTCTCACATGCAGCCATCAGGGGGTTTCCTGGGCGGTGATGGGGGGGAGGCAAAGCATCGGCTCCTTTCTGTCCCTCCCTGTGGCTCCTGGATGCGCCTCCCTGCATCGTCTCTGGAGACAAGTGGGGAACAATGCTGAAGGAGCAAGGGAGTTCTCTACCTGGGAGGAAGGGAGACTTAGTGGGGCTCACACCTTAGCCCTGGTGTGGTTGGGCGGTGGGGACTTAAGGAGCCTGGCTGCAGACCAGGGCTCCAGCCATGGGGCTTCAGGAGCCAACAGCCAGCTCTGGACACGGGGTTTGGGGCTCTGACCCCCAGCTCTGGCCTTGCAGCCCTGGCCTTCAACCACAGGTCTTCAGGCTCCAATCCCTGGCTCTTACTTATGGCGTCACTGACCCCAGGTGCTGTCCAACAGCAGCACACTCTGACCCCCAGCCATGGTCGCTGACCCTGGGCTCCAGCGGCTGGCGGCCCTGGGTGCAGATCCCCAGCCCTGGCTGCTGGCCCTGGATGCAGATCCCCGGCCTCAGACTCCGGCAGGAGCAAGTACTGGATCCCAACCCCTAGCCCTGGCTGCACGGCAGCAGGTGTGGACCCCAAGTGCTACCCCTGGTGGCGGCTGCTGGCCCCACATGCCAACCCCTGGCCACACACTTCGACCCCCAGCCCTGGCCACTGACACCAGACACTGCTCCTGGATGTCGACCCTGGGCTCCAGCGGGTGCTGGCCGTAGGCACCAATCCCTGTCCCTGGTCACATGACAGTGGACGCCAACCCCAGGATCCAGCGGGTGCTGGCCCTGGACACCAATGCCTACCCCTTGCCCCAGTCACGTGGCAGCAGGCTCCTGCTCCTGGACCCCAAGCACCAATCCTTGGTGCTAACCCCCGGCCACATGGCAGTGAGTGCCGGTCCCCAGCCCTGACCACACAGCAGCAGGTGCTGACCCCCAGCTGCCGATCCTCACCCCCCAACCATGCGGTAGCAGGGGGCCCCCATCCATTGCACCTGGCCTCTGCTGCCTCCCCCAGCCCTGCATCCATCTTCCCTGGCCCCCGCGTTGCCTCAAACCCCACCCCATCCAGGTCTTAATTATCCAGGTCTTGCTGTGAAAAGTGATATTAACAAACACACAACTGGTGTGGGTAGAGTTGGGATACAACTGGTGATTAGAAACTTTAACAAGAGCCTTAACCCCAGGTGTCCTCTCTCCTCCAGTGCTGGGAAGGCCTGGGCCACAAGCTGGCAACACTGCTCTGCCAGGGCTCAGCCCTGCACACAGGTTAGGGAGCGTGAACAGAGCCAGTGGCAAATGGCCAGACAGAGGGTCTGGGGAAGGCAACAGCTCCATCCTGAGCTAGCCACCTGCACGAAGCCACCAGATTCGTACAGCACGTAGCATTTTTCATGTATGCTCCATCACAGGGCCCCACTTGTGCAATCCTTCCCTCCTAGGACCTGGTCTGATGCTCATGTATCTCCTTCCCCCCCCACCGCGCACTCCCCCCCGAGCCCCTTCCCCCCCCACCGCGCACTCCCCCAACTCTTCTCCCGGGCCCCTTCCCCCCCCCCCGAGCCGCTTCCCCCCACCCCGCACTCCTCTCCTGAGCCCCCCCCCCACCGCGCACTCCCCCAACTCCTCTCCCGGCCCCCCCGAGCCGCTTCCCCCCACCCCGCACTCCTCTCCTGAGCCCCCCCCCCCCACCGCGCACTCCCCCAACTCCTCTCCCGGGCCCCCCGAGCCGCTTCCCCCCACCCCGCACTCCTCTCCTGAGCCCCTTCCCCCCCCCACCCTGCACTTGCCCCTGCTCCCCAAACCCCGCACTCCCCCAACTCCTCTCCTGAGCCCCTTCCCCACAATCCTACACTCCCTTCCCACCCCGCCCTGCCTCGCGGCCCGAGCCTCTCGCCCCAGGCGCTCGGTGCCGCCGGTCTCCTACCTCCAGCAGCTGCACATAGCTCGCCGGGAACCAGCCGCGCAGCCCGTCCTCCTTCTGCCCTTCCCACCAGCCGCCGTCCGGCACCTGCAGCAGCGTGAGCTGCTCCCCGGCGGCGAAGCGCAGCCCCTGCCGGTGCCGCTCCCCGGAGAAGGGGTACAGCGTCTGGCAGCGCGAGCCCGACATGCTGCGCCGCGGAGCTGCCCGGCCGCCCGGCGCTGCCAGTGCGGAGCGAGCGCGAGCGAGCGCGAGCCGCCCCCGGGCCGCGCCCCCAGCCCGCCCGGCCGCCGCCCGCGGGCAGCGCCCCTCGCCGCGGGCCCGGCCCGGCCTCCGGGAGCGGCAGGGACTCGGGTGGGGGTCGGGGCGGGTGAGACTAGGGTGACACCGCGGGGGCAGCGGGGGGTGATGGGATGTATCGGGGGTAGCTGTGGGGAGGTTGTCTCGGGGGGGGCTGACAATGAGTCCAGAGTGTGTGTGTGCGGGGGGGGCGGGGGGGCTGACAATGAGTCCAGAGTGTGTGTGTGCGGGGGGGGGATTGGTCCTGCTTCGAGCAGGGGGTTGAACTAGATGACATCCTGAGGTTCCTTCCAACCCTGATATTCTATGATTCTATGCCTGACACTTCTACGAACAGGGGTGTGTGCACCTGAATGATCAATCACTTTATATGTATGGTATAGTACTTAGTAGTATTTTCAACAATCCCAGTGCATATCTCCCCCCCCCCCTTTTGCAATTCTCCACCAAAAAAAATACTTATAAGAAGCACACGGGATCTTTTTCAGGGGAAAAGGCAATATGCCGCGTTTATTGAAGGTACAACAATTAGTATATGCATTCAATCACACCACACACACACACTGTCCCACCAGTCGATGTTACAGTTACCAGTCCAGAGTCTGGATCAGTCTAGTGGCCAGCTGTCAGTTAGGAGCTGTCAGGGTTCCCTCCCCACTCTGAACTCTGGGCTACAGATGTGGGGACCCGCATGAAAGACACCCCCCCCCAAGCTTATATTCTACCAGCTTAGGTTAAAACTTCCCCAAGATACAATTCCTTTCCTTGTCCTTGGACGGTATTGCTGCCACCACCAAGGGATTTACACAGAAATTCAGGAAGAGAGTCACTTGGAGTCCCTATTCCCCCAAAATATTTCCTCAAGCCCCTTCACCCCCTTTCCTGAGGAGGCTTGTGAATAATGTGAGTACCAACCAGACCCTTTGTCTCTAGGACACTGATAATCAAACAGGTTCTTAAAGGAAGAATTTTATTTAAAGAAAAAGTAAAAGAATCACACCTGCAAAATCAGGATGGAAGGTAACTTTACAGGGTAATACGAAGATTTAAACTCGGAGGATTCCCCTCTAGGCTCAGCTTCAAAGTTACAAAAAAAAAAGAATAAAACTCCCTCTTACAATAGGGAAAATTCACAAGCTAAAACTAAAGACAATCTAACGCATTTCCTTGCCCTTACTTACAATTTCTGTAATTTTAGATTTCAGAGTAGCAGCCGTGTCAGTCTGTATTCGCAAAAAGAAAAGGAGTACTTGTGGCACCTTAGAGACTAACAAATTTATTTGAGCATAAGCTTTCGTGAAGATCTCTATCAAGCATTCTTACAACTACAGTACCCACCTACAGAAGTGAAGAAACAGATTGATAGAGCCAGAAGAGTTCCCAGAAGTCACCTACTACAGGACAGGCCTAACAAAGAAAATAACAGAACGCCACTAGCCGTCACCTTCAGCCCCAACTAAAACCTCTCCAACACATCATCAAGGATCTACAACCTATCCTGAAGGACGACCCATCACTCTCACAAATCTTGGGAGACAGGCCAGTCCTTGCCTACAGACAGCCCCCCAACCTGAAGCGAATACTCACCAGCAACCACATACCACACAACAGAACCACTAACCCAGGAACCTATCCTTGCAACAAAGCCCGTTGCCAACTGTGCCCACATATCTATTCAGGGGACACCATCACAGGGCCTAATAACATCAGCCACACTATCAGAGGCTCGTTCACCTGCACATCTACCAATGTGATCTATGCCATCATGTGCAAGCAATGACCCTCTGCCATGTACATTGGTCAAACTGGACAGTCTCTACGTAAAAGAATAAATGGACACAAATCAGATGTCAGAAATTATAACATTCATAAACCAGTCAGAGAACACTTCAATCTCTCTGGTCACACGATTACAGACTTGAAAGTTGCGATATTATACCAGAAAAACTTCAAAACCAGACTCCAGCGAGAGACTGCTGAATTGGAATTCATTTGCAAATTGGATACAATTAATTTAGGCTTGAATAGAGACTGGGAGTGGCTAAGTCATTATGCAAGGTAACCTATTTCCCCTTGTTTCCCCCCCCCCCGTTCCTCAGACATTCTTGTTAAACCCTGGATTTGTGCTGGAAATGGCCCACCTTGATTATCATACACATTGTAAGGGGAGTGATCACTTTAGATAAGCTATTACCAGCAGGAGAGTGGGGTGGGGGGAGAGAAAACCTTTTGTAGTGATAAACACCCATTTTTTCATGGTTTGTGTGTATAAAAACATCTTCTATATTTTCCACAGTATGCATCCGATGAAGTCAGCTGTAGCTCATGAAAGCTTATGCTCAAATAAATTGGTTAGTCTCTAAGGTGCCACAAGTCTTCCTTTTCTCTTATCCTTTATCTTGTTCTTTCATCAAGTCTCTCAGGGAGTTATCCCATGCTGGTTTTGATCACAGCTATCTTGTCCCCATTGATAGGTGCCTGTCTCATCTTTAGAGTCGTCAATCTGCCCTCCTCTGATATTTCAATAGGGGCGTGTTGCAGCCTCCTGGCACCCTTGCGTCTGTCTCTGGTGCTCCCTAGAACATCTGGTTCAGCGATGGCCTTCTCACTTATCTCTTAACACCCATTCCTCATTCACACACAAAACAGAATTAATTTACACAGAACATTTTGAACAGGAACATCAAATTGCAATGCAGAAGAAAAACAATCATGGCATTCTTTTACTTATTTTAAAATGCTAAGCCTACAACAAAGTGGTGACCTCAAAGGTCTGTTACTGCCTTGAAATCAGTCCAGACACAAAGAGATTCTGGCTGATGCATCTCTACCAATGGCCCATTAGGCCATTCCTTTCTGCTACTCAAAAAGGGTGGCTGGCAAGATATGGTCAAATCATACATCAATACATTGAATACATGTTACATTATTATCTTATTATTCTTTATCCTTCATTCTAAATTATACACTCCAGAGCGTGAGGCGATAACATTCTTGGAACCTGATGACAACCTCCAATCCGATGAGGGCCTCAGTGCCAAAGCAGGCTGCAAGACCTGTTCAAGCAGGTGCTGTTTTAGGTGATGTCAGGGTTCCCTCCCCACTCTGAACTATAGGGTACAGATGTAGGGACCCACATGAAAGACCCCCTAAGCTTATTTTTACCAGCTTAGGTTAAAAACTTTCCCAAGGCACAAATTTCGCCTTGTCCTTGAACAGTATGCTGCAACCACCGAGGGATTTAGACAAAGAAAAGGGAAAGGTCCACTTGGAGTTCTTATTTCCCCAAAATATCCCCCCAAGCCCTTACACCCCCTTTCCTGGGGAGGCTTGAGAATAAACAAGATGAGCACAAGCCAGCCTTGGATTTTTAAGACTCAAAAAACCCAATCAGATTCTTAAAAAAAAAAAACTTTATTAGAAGAACCAAAAAAGATAAGGGAACAACTCTGTAAGATCAGAATGGAACATAATCTTACAGGCACTCAGCTTCAAAACTTAGAGAATCCCTCTAGGCAAAACCTTAAGTTACAAAAAGACACAAAAACAGGAATACACATTTCCTCCAGCACAGCGAATTTCACAAGGCAAAACAAAGAAAACCTAACACATTTTCTAGCTAGATTACTTACTAACTTTACAGGAGTTGGAGGGCTTGCATCCTTGATCTGTTCCCAGCAAAGGTATCACACAGACAGACAAAAGCCTTTTTCTCCCACTCCAGATTTGAAAGTATCTTGTCCCCTCATTGGTCATTTTGGGTCAAGTGCCAGCCAGGTTACCCTGAGCTTCTTAACCCTTTACAAGTAAAAGGACTTTGCCTCTGGCTAGGAGGGATTTTATAGCACTGTATACAGAAAGGTGGTTACCCTTCCCTTTATATTTATGACAGGTGAAGATCCTGAGCCACTTGAATCCCAAACAAGCTACAGGTCCAACGCCACTCCTTGACGTGGGCCTCACTCAAGCACAACAAGCACCGCGTGTGGGGATCGTTGTTAGGGCTCGCTCCCTCTCATACGATGGACAGTATTTGAACCCTGGTGAGGGCACCACAGGGAATTCCTAATTAAATACAACCAACACTTACACTAAGGGTATTACTAGCTATAGCCAACTCAAAAAAACCACTAAATTAGTGAGAGCATGTGAGGTTAAGTCCACACAGAGCTCCGACTCCAGCCACATCTAGTAAGAAGGAACTGGGGGCAGGTTGCCACCTTATATACCCAAGGGCGGGGCTATGGCCATGAGGCACGAGCACCACCGCTCTGGGTGTATTGCTAGGCAAAATTCTGCAGCTCTGGTGCACAGGGCACACACACACCCCTAAGTGGAATACATGGCTGCATCTGCTCGAAGAAGAACAAGGTGACTCCTAGTCCTGGGCACCCTGAGAACTGTCACAGCTCCTCATCAGTTCCCGCCCTTTCTCCTCTCCTATGCTGTGGCTGGCAGAAGATGGATCAACCCCACGAACAGGTTAGAGAAGCCGGAGGGCTACCTGGATTGGTGCCCCAACCCATTTTCCACCCCCCTTCAAGCTGTTGCAGAGCTGAGATTCACTGGGTTGCAGGAGTGCCCCAGTCACAGCTCTCCCTGCACAAGCCTGCACAGACTCTCAGGAGAGGGGTGCAGAACTGATTAAACCAGCATGGCCTTGTCGGGGGCGCTGCCATTCCCAGGATGTTCACCATAGAGGTGGTCTGGCAGCACAGCTGGTGCACAGAGGCCACAGGTAACATGGGGAGAGTGTCACACAGGTGAAGAGGATTGTGTGATGGAACGGCCAAGGCAGGTAGAGCACTACAGCTCTTTCTTCCTCATTGTCTCCTCATTACACATGTTAAAAACACAGGGAAATTGCCTTTGTACCAGCAGGTCACTGAGAGCGAATGACGCCATCCAACCCCCACACTGCGCAGGAGATGGCCATTAACCCACTGCAGCATTTGCCCAGCTTCTGAATACTGGTGCCCACCCCTTCAGGCTGCTCATGGTACTCCCTGACCACCCCACCCTCAGCCCAATCCCCATTCCTCTTGCTCACAGGCAATGGGTAACTGTGCAAGGTGTTTTCTGACATGCTGGCAGGAGCCGTGAAGTTAGCCATGTTGGTGTATGAGGTGTCTTCATTGATCTGAGGTAATGCTCCACTGAAATTAATGGAGCAGAATACCTCCGAGTTATTGTTTCAGGCTCTACACAAACTCAGGAAGGCATTGCTGTATCAATTATATTTGATTCAAGTTCTGAAGGTTTTCTTTGCATAGTTAGTCTCTAATTGCTAGAGACTGACTTTAAAAAAAATGAAAGCTGGAGGACAATTGAGATGCCTGTCCAGGGTCCCCCTTCCCCCCCCCCCCCAGCCTTTTGTGCCCCTCCTGGGTGAGCACATGCCACGCTTTGGGGAACAGTGGCCTAAATACATCAGAGATCCCTCTGTCAGGTACAGAGACGTATACTGTCCATCCCCCTACCAAATCAACCTTACTTAGACACACTCACAAAGAGCAACCTTAACTTTGCCCTCTGTCTGATGCCAGTGTCCCTGCAAGATTAACCTTTTATTTCCCATAGGTCTTCTCCCAGATAATAACTCATCTACACAGGGCTGAATAAAGGAGGCTGGAATAGAAATCAGATGCATGCCCTTCCATTTATTTGTATCAGCTAATGTATATCTACCCTGACTGCAGATATCCATATTGCATGGGAAACCTCTGCAGTCACACTCTGGGACCTCATTCCTCCAATTTCTGTAGATAAATAAATAAAGATACTTTAGAAGTTACTGGAATAATGGAATTGCCACAGGGGCTAGAATCTCAACATGATTTTAAGTGTGCAGTTAGGGGCAACAATGTGAAAAATGGCAGGCAAAGAAACAATGATTTCCAGGCTGCAGCTGGCAGGCCTGCAGCATGAGAGGAGGGGTCTATAGGTAGATCCTTGCTGAAGGCAATGCAGCTTGGGGATTTACAGCAGCTGACCGGCCCCATGTTTTCTGAGTGCTCTCTGTCCCCTTAGGTTGGCTGACATGGCACAGCAGACTGCCACAGTACAGATGAGCCAGTCCATCAGAAGCCCAGTGAGGTGCCAGAGGCAGATTTGTAGAGGCAGCAGGGAATGCAGTTTAGCTTGGTGCTGCCTGGGGACAAGTACATGACGGCTCCCTCTAGTGGGAGTGGCAGGACATGGGCCAGTGAAATGCCACACAGCTACTAGGGTAGGTGCCTGCTGAAGGACTTTTATGTGGCTTTTGGGGCTCATGTCTTGCCTTCACCAAACGTGCTCCCCATGCTGGGGTAAGAAAGACAGTCCCTGATAGAGAATGGACAGAAGAGCCTCACTGTCCATAGCACCTCCAGCTCTCTCGGTGGCCAGTTTTTAGTCCCTTTAATATGGGCTCCATTGATTTTGTATGTTGCTAGTCTATCTGAATGCCTGGTGGCATTAAGTCAAATGTCTTACTGAAGTCCAATATATTCCATGGGCACAGTTCCCTCTACCAACCAGCCAACCTTGAGAGCATGACAAAGAGCATTAATTCATTTGACAGGATCTATTTACCATCAAACCAGGTTGATTGGCATGAATTACAACACACAGTCAGATTCCAAGGCCAGAAGGGACCACTGTGACCTCCTGTATGGCGCAGGCCCTAGGACTTCCCCAAATTAATGCCGGTTTGAACTAGAGCAGACCTATTAGAAAAACAGCCAATCTTGATTTTAAAATTGCCAGTGATGGAGAATCCCCCAGAACCCTTAGTAAGTTGTTCCAATGGTTAATTTCCCTCATTGTGAAAAATGTTCACCTTATTTCCAATTGGAATTTGTCTAATTTCAACTACCAGCTATTGGATCACATGAGACCTTTCTCTGCGAGACTGAAGAAGCCGTTAGACTGGGATCAAATCACCCCTAAACCTTCTCTTTGTTTTGCTAAGTCATTCTTCATTGATTGAATCCAGTATCAGCCTTTCCATGATCTTGCCTAGGATTGATGCCAGACTAACTGGCTGATAGTTATCCCAGGGTGCAATATGTCAGTATCAAACTATAAACTCCATTTTGTATTTTATCTTGAATACATACATGTGTTATGCACTTGGGAGCGGGGTGGTGTGATGCAGCAGGGAGGGGGAAGTGTTGACCTGGGAATGTGGCAGGGGAGTTTCATTGGGGATGGGATACCTGAGAGCCTGTAACCTGAGCCAGGAGGGGGATGGGGAGGTAACACCTCTGCCTGGGAAACTGGACAAAGGCTGCAGGAGAGAGCCTGCTGGAGGGTTTTTGGTTTCAGTTTTGTGCTGGGTGGTGGAACGCAGGGAACCCCAAGGCTGGGGTCTAAGCTCCCTGCCCCCCAGAAGGACTTGACTGAGGGGTACCCACAAGTTCTGTTTTAGACTCTATTCCTATTGTCCAATAAACCTTCCGTTTTACTGGCTGGCTGAGAGTCACGGTGAATCCCAGGAAGAGGGGTGCAGGGCCTGGACTCCCCCCCACTCCATGACAACATGTACAATGATAATAATAAATGTGCCAGGGCAGCTGCTTGAATTGCACTCCAGACAGCAGCCCCGACCCCAGAGAGTGCTTGACACCTCGATGGAGGACTATCACTGGGAATGACTCTTCCCTACTTGCCCATTGCCCTGGAACAATGGTTTTCTCTGCAGGTGACGGAGGGGGCTGCAGTGTGCAGGGAAGCACATGGCAAGGAGCCAGAGACTCTATGAGCGCAGTGCTGGCGGCTCCTAGAAAGGGGTTACCCATCGCACCACGTAGCAGGACGTGCAGGAGAGAGAGGGCTGGAGGGGCTCCGAAAAGGTGACAAACCTTGAGCTGGGAGAAGGGGTGAGCTCAGGATAGGGGGAAGGCATGTCTCAGGGCTTTCTTATTTTCAGAGATCTGTAACTGAAGTGCTTTAGGAATGAAGTCACTGTGGATAAGAAATTTCGAGCCCTGTGCTCACCTTGTCACGGCTCTTGGACCGCAGCTTGTTGACCTGGGATTCAACTCGTTCCTCAGCCTCCTCCAACTCATGCTGGGTCTTGCGACACCGTGACAGGTGGGTGCTGGCATGCTCCTCCTGTAGAGCCAAAAAGTGCCGTCAGCACCATGCCCGCCCAGCGTCCTCAGTACCCGGGCCCCGCCCAGCACCATCAGAGTCTGTGCCCTACCCAGCGCCGTCACCGCCTGCACCCTGCCCGGCACTGTCAGCACCATGTCTCACGAAGCACCCTCGGCTAATGCTATGTGTACCCGCACTGTCCTGTCCAGCACCATCAGGGATGGTGTCCTTAGCCTCTGTTTGCCAGAACCTGGGAATGGGCGACGGGATGGATCACTCAATGATCACCTGTTCTGTTCATTCCCTCTGGGGCACCTGGCATTGGCCACTGTTAGAAGACCAGATACTGGGCTAGATGGACCTTTGATCTGACCCAGTGTGTCTGTTCTTATGTTCTTAGCAGCGCCCGCACCCTGCCCAGAGCCCTCTGCCTACCCCATCCGCATTCACATTCTGCACCGTACAATCAGCACCCACACCTGGCCCAGCATGCTCAGAATCATGCCCCACCCAGCATCAGCAGCGTCCCGCCATGCCACACCCAGCCCCGTGCCAGCAGCAACCACCCCACTCAGCGTCAGCAGCGCCCTGCTATGCCATCTCCAGCACAATCAACCCCGTGCCCCACCCAGCGCCAGGCCTCAGAGAATGCCACAGCTCTCCTAGCACCCTGCATGGCACTGTGCCCCACACCGGGCCGGCTTTAGGTTTTTTGCTGCCCCAAGCAAAAAATTTGCCTCCCCAAGCTCAGGTGGGGCTGGGGCTCGAGGGGGGGCTGGAAGCAGAGGGAGTGATGTCACCTTCTCCCAGTGCTTGCAGGGGCTTTACCCGCTCCCCCGCCCGGCCGCGCAGAGAAGCCCTGATATAAGGGGTGGCACAAGGCAGCGCAGCAGCCAGTGCACAGATGGGACGGCCCAGCCCCGGTTCCCTGGCAGGACTCGCCCTCTCCTCCCCAAGTAGCGGCTGGGACTGGCAGCTCAGCATCCTACGGCTGGGGCTTCCCCTTCCCACTGCGGCCGGGGGCGCGGCGCCCTCGCCCCGTCTAAGTGGCACAGCTCCGAGAGTGCAACTGCCCCGAAAGAAAAGGAAGGCCGGATTGTGCCGCCCCTGGAAATGTGCCGCCCCAAGCACCTGCTTGCTTTGCTGGTGCCTAGAGCCGGTCCTGGCCCTGCCAGCTAGTTACACTTCCCCGGGTAGATACACCCTACTTCTGTAAGCAATTAGGAACTTAGGCGGAGATTTCCAAAACTGCCAGGGGGTTTGGATCCCCGCCCCCATTTCGTCCACATGAAAGGATTTGGGTGTCCTGAGGCCAAGGCAGCTTTGCAAATCTTTGCTCAGCAGATTGGCGGACTCTGTACTCACGGCCTCCTCAGCTTGTCTGTTGTAGGCTTTCACTTTCAGCTGCAGTTTGTCTACCAAGTCCTGGAGCTGGACAACTTTCTTCTTGTCTTCTTCAGACTGCGGGGAATGCAATAGCAATACGGTCCGGCTGGGGAGGCCAGTGTCTGGGATGTGCCTGGGATGCAGCGCAGGTGCCACGGGAGCTGCTGTTCCCAGTGGTACCTGGTAAGTGATTTCCTTGAGCCTTCTTTCGTTTTTGCCTACCCCTTTAATTTGCTCTATTCCTCGCTTCTGCTCAGCATCAAGCTCATTCTCCAGCTCCTGAACCTAAGCACAGTAAGACGGTGAAGAGAGCAAACAGCAAAGGAAAGAGCTGCATGTGCATAACGGCCCTGGGCCCTGATGGCCAAGGCGTGGGTAGAAGACACTTCTTGAGCCTGTGGATGGGCCAGGAGACTTGGTGACGCCAAGTGAATCCTCTGGCCGCTGCTCTGGGGCATGGGGGCCGATGGGGTCTGGCCCAGTCACAGTTATGCAGTGCCAAGCCTGCTTGCACCTTACAGCCAAAGACAGCGATGGGCCCGTGGCTCTACGGCAGCCGGGGAGGGCAGGGGAGGAGAGGGAGCGGGGGGCGAGGTGCTGGCAGGGAGAGCTCAGGCTGTATTTGCCTCTTGCACTCAGGCTTTGCCACCGCACTGCAGCCGAACAGGATACGTATGTTCCAGTAGATGCCAGAAAAAAGCAAACATCAAGCCCAGCCACTCCGGATGAGCAGCCCCCACCCAAGGGCCTGGACACATCCCCAGCAGAGACCTCCATGTCCTCATGCCCTCTTGAGATAGGATTCACATGAGCTCCCCCCAAGATCCATCTGCGCGGCTCTCAGGGGCCACCCCACCCCTCTGGGCATGCTGGAGCACCGAGCCCAAGATTAGGAGTCTCTAACACCAAGTGGGCCAGAGTTCACCCCAGAGGCCGAACAATTCAGCCCCTACCCACCCAAGCAGAGGCCTCTGTGAGGCCTGCCACCACCACCTTAGCATAGCCATGATGGAGTGGCCATAGAAACCTCAAACCCGGTCCATCCCCTTCCTCAAACCCTGCCTGGCCCTGATCCCCAAATCCCCAAACCTTGCCTTTGGAGACAGTCTCCAGGTTACTAGCCAGGTCGTCAGTCTCCATCTTCAGTTCACTCTTCTCCTTCTCCAGCTTCTGTTTGACGCGTTGCAGGTTGTCGATTTGCTCCCCAAGCTCTGCCGTGCTGTCCGCGTGCTTCTTCCGGAGGGCGGCGGCTGTGGCTTCGTGCTGCAGAGTGGCCTCCTCAAGGTCTCGGCGCATTTTCTGGAATTCTGCCTCACGCTTCTTGTTCATCTCAATCTGAACCGCTGTGGCTCCACCAGCTTCTTCCAGACGCTCACTGATCTCCTCGAGTTCCCTGGAGAGATCAGCCCGCTGCTTCTCTGCTTTCGCCCGAGAGGCCCGTTCAGCCTCTGCCTCCTCCTCCAGCTCCTCCATGCGGGCCTGCGAGGGTTAATTTGTGAAATCAATAGTTCTGAAGTTTGGAATTAGTATTAGGGGACAGCAGCACTTACACTTCCATTGTTGTAGGCACAAAGGATGAAGTTCATCCTTTAGGCCTCACCAGAAATTACACTGGCCTGTGGCCTCGGACAAACAATACGCATTCTGGAGCTGTGGCCGATTGAAGGCCTGATATTTCAAAAAGCTACATATCGGCGCTCTATAGATTTCATAGAATTTAGGGCTAGAAGGGATCATTAGATCATCCAGTCTCATCTCACATATAACACAGGCCACTAAACTTCACCCAGATACTCCTATATTGAGTGCAATGACGTTAGTTAGACTAAAAGATTCCAGCAGTCAGTAGACTAAATTATTGTGTGCCACAGCCAAAGAATAGGAGAAACCAAGAAGCCACCAAGGCCTCAGGCCCCTGCAATGGCAGGAAGTTATATAATTAAAAAGCCAGCATTGCACCTTTGTAATGGGTTAAGAGATTTGACTCTATCTCTTGTAAATCTTGAGACATTTGTTGGATGCCAGACCCACAAGCAAAATGGCTGCCCTTCTATGGTCCAGGGTGTGGACAGGGCACAGGGAGGAGCAGCAGAGACCAGTGACCGGGGGGGTGGGGAGAGTGAGGAAGGGTGCAGGGGGATGGAAGGGACAGAGGGAGGCTAAAGAGGTTGCAGGGGGCAGCTGAGGGGGATGCATGGGGTGTGTGGGGGGGGAGGAGGGAGGCTTAGGGGCTGAGAAGGGTTACAGAGGGATGTGGGGGCAGGAAGAGGCAGCAAGGGGTGAAGGGGGATGTGGGGAGTGCAGGGGTGTTGGGGGGGCAGAAGGAGGATGAAGGGAGACATGGGGTGGACAGAGTGTGACTGATAGGGAAGGTGGGGCAGAGAGAGGCTGAGGGGTTTGCAGGGGACACGGCGGCAGAGGTTAGCTGTGAGAGGTGCAGGGATGTGTGTAGGCTGCGGAGGGGGGGTCTGCGAGGGGATGTGGGGGGCTGAACTGTGTGCAGGGTATGTTGGTCCAGAGGGAGGCTGAGGGGGGCAGGGGTGCTGGAACGATTTGTACAGTAGGGCTGCTGAGAGCCATTGAACCAAACTGTAAACCCTGTATATAATAGAAACCACCCCTCACACCCCCAATTTCAGCATCTATGGAGGGGGTGCAGGCGTGTGTGGGGGCAGAGGGGAGGCCGCGGGGCCAGGAGGGAGGCTGAGGGGGAACAGGTGTGTCTGGGGGCCAGGAGGGAGGCTGCATGGGTGCTGGGGCCAATGATCAGGTAGGACCTTGGCGAGTTAGCCTGCCAGTTCCCCCAGGCGGGGGCCGTGGAGGGGAAGGGAAAGTCTGTGTCATGGGGTTGCCACTTCCTACGCGGAGGGATGTAGTTCAGCCACCTCTGCAACAGGGAGCAGCTCAGTTGCTGCAGCTGCTGTGGTACAGACATGCCCGAGCAAGAAGCCATCGCAGGGCAGCCTAGGGCCAGCAGCTGTGATTGTCTCTCAGCTGCAGCCCCAGCCCCATGAACAGTGGATTTTCTGCTCAGGGGACCAGCACATGGGAAAAGGAGCGAGGCTGTTTTCGAGGAGGTGCCTCCTTGTGCAGGGGGAGCCAACTGTCGCCTCATCTAGGCAGGACTTGCAGCAGAAAGAGAAGGCAGGAGGGGCGTTTCCCAGCCTGACATGCCTAGTACCCTTGGATGCAGCAGGGTGAGACCAGACCGTGGGGTGGAACGGGTCAGGAGTGGGGCCGAGTTTCAGGACTTTCAGGACTTTCAAAGCTCACTACCTCTCCCGTGCTTCAAGAGTCAAGTAACTGCCATGTTGTCCCTGAAGGGCTTAAACTAGAAGACCAGAGTGACCATGGCCAAGGTGGGACTCTGAGGGAGTGTGTGTAAGGGTGCGTCTACACTGCGACGCGTAGCGTACATACCCCTGCCGTCCCTTGAGCATGGGTATAACAGCAGTGTAGAGGATGAGCCACGGCTTGGGCAAGTACAGACATGCCTGAAGCCACGGGCTCTGTACATGGCCGACAGGCTCTGTACTCACCCACGCCAGGCCTCCCCATCTGCACTGCTATTTGGAGCTGTGTGGTGTCCTGCTGCCCCCCTGCTGCAGGGAGAGACTTCTCCGGGGGAAAGGCTCCGGCAGGGGGAAGGCAGCAGGGAAAGGCTCTGGGAGGGGAGAGGCACAGGAGGGGAAAGGCTCTGGGAGAGGGGAGGAAGCCAGAAAAGGCTCTGGGAGCGGGGAGGCAGAGCAGGGAGAAGGTTCTGGGAGGGGGAAGGCAACAGGAAAAGGCTCTGGGAGGGGGGAGGCAGAGGAGGGGGAAGGCTCCAGGCGGGGGGATGCAGCAGGGAAAGGCTCCGAGATGGGGAAGGCAGCAGGGCCTTTCCCTGGTAGAGCCTTTCCTCACTGCAGTGAAAGGTAGGGAGCTGCTGAAGCCTTTCCCCACTGTCTCACCCTGCCAGAGCCTTTCACTGACATGTGTAGCTACACCCCGCAGCGCGGTCACGGTCTGCTTTTCACTGCAGCAAGTAGCTACATGCACCCTACACGCAGCTCACTGTGGTGTGTAGTGTAGACATAGCCCACATGGCTGGGAGGCTCTGGAGGTCTGAGAGGCCGGTTTCAGGACCTGGGACAGCTTGACTGCGCAGTCCCATGGCCCAAGGAGGTGCTCAGTGAAGATTTCTGAGCCTGGGCATGTGCACAAGAAGCCAGGGCTCATAACGTTAACAAATAATTGCTCTGGAAATAACTACAAAGACTCTGCTTTACTGGCTCTTCACTCTACTAAAGGTACTGATCTGCGAGTGACAGCTGAAAAGCTTTTTCCAATACCTGGTTCTTTTCTCCTTGCTACAGACTTCAGCTTTACTGGCTGCAGGCTTGTCTGGTAAGGCTGTGAACTGAGACCCTCTGAAGTATTTAGTACCTTTCTGCAAGGCTCTGGTGACACCTCATCTGGAATACGATGTGCAATTCTGGTCTTTTATGTGTAAGAAAGATTAATTCAAACTGGAACAGGTGCCGAGAAGGGCTACTAAGATGATCTGAGGCATGGAAAACCTACCTTATGAGAGGAGACTTAAGGAGCTTTGCTTGTTTAGCCTAACAAGACAAAGCCTGAGGGGAGATATGGTTGCTCTCTATAAATCCACCACAGGGATAAACGCCAGAGAGGGAGAGGAGTTATGTAAGTCAAGGGTCAATGCTGAAATGGATATGAACTGGCCATCAACAAGTTTAGGCTTGAAATTAGATGAAAGTTTCTAACCATCAGAGGAGGGAAGTTTTAGGACAGCCTGCCAAGGGCAGTAATGGGGGCAAAGAACCTAATTGGTTTCAAGACTGAGCTTGATAAATTTCTGGAGGGGATGATGTGATGAGACTGCCTACAATGGCATATGGCCCATTGGCAGCTGCTGGTAGCAAATATCTCCCATGGCTGGAGATGGGACACTATCTCTAGGTTACTGAGTTACTACGGTGGCTCTGAGTTACTACTGTGAATTCTTTCAAAGATGTCTGGCTGGTGTGTATTGCTGACACACCCTAACTGAACGCCATATTTGTGGTCGGGAAGGAATTTTTCTGCAGGTCAGATTGGCAGAGATCCTGTGGGGTTTTCATCTTTCTCTGCAGCGTGGGGCATGGGTCACTTGCTGATTTGAACTAGAGCAAATGGTGGATTCTCTATGACTTGAAGTCTTTAAATCATGATTTGAGGACTTCAGTAACTCAGCCAGAGGTTAGGGGGTCTATTACAGGAGTGGGTGGGTGAGGTTCAGCGGCCTGCAATGTGCAGGAGGTCAGACTAGATGATCACGATGGTCCCTTCTGGCCTTAAAGTCTGAGTCTATGAGTCTATAACAGTGACTAGACTCTGCCCAGACCTAGCAGGCTTGGAAGCACACGGGACCCAGTAATTGGGTACATTCGCGACAGACGGGTGACTGTACAGAGGGGGACTGGTCCACGTTGTGACTATTCTCAAGTCCACGTTCACAACCTTCTCCCTGGCTCATGAAGATTCAGTCTCTGCTGTAGAGTCCCTCCCTGCCAGCTGATGAGGATCAGTCTCTGCGCCATCCCTTCTCTAACAAGGTATCCCCTCCAGCACCTGTTGTAGGTTCTGCCCTAGCAGATGTGGGAGCAACTTGTGCTCTATCTCACATTTCACAGACCCCAGTGGGGAGTATGCTGTGTCTATGTGCCATGGCTGCAGGGGGGCTGGAACAATTTGTATAGTGGGGGTGCTGTGAGCCATTGAACCAAACTGTAAACCCTGTATAAGATGGAAGCCACTTCAAGCCAGGGGGTGTGGCAGCACCCTCTGCACCCCTAGTTCCAGCACCTATGCATGGCTGATGCCTCCAGGGGTTATTTGCTGCTGGGTGGGAGCATTTTATGCCCATTTTGTATTCACTTTGCTGAGGTGTAAGTGACAAGAGCAGGGGCAGAACAGTGGGGAGTCTGGCCGCTAGTCTATGAGTGTTGTGAAGTAGGGAGGGAAGCAGGCAGGAAAGGGGCAGTTCATTACATTTGAAGGAGTGGAAGTTACTCACAGGTCTGCACTTGGAGCTGCAGGTCATTTTTCTCTTGCAGCAGGCTCACCATTTTCTCCTCCAGTTCTTTCCTTTTTGCCTCAGACTTAGCAAGCTCCTCCTTCGTTTTCTCAAACTCTTCCTTCATGTTGGCCATCTCCTTCTCAACTTCAGCACTCTTCAGCAAGGGCTGGATCTTGAAGTACAGCTTCATCCAGGGCCAGTGCTTGACGTTCATGAATGAGCGAATGTTGCATTGCAGAGTGTAGATGGATTCCCTGAAAATCCATTAAACTACAGCTTAAAGAATGCAGAGTATGGAGCCAATGGGACTTGGGTTAGGAATGAATTCCAGATATTAGAATGACAGTTTCTAAGTACCATCTAAACAGCTTTTGTGGGAGATTCATGTTGAAACCACTACATTACTGGGTGTAAACAAGATACTTCTAGTCCCCGTGGAGCTGCAATGATGGGCACTCTCTGAACAGAACACAAAGAAATGCTCTGGAACAGAAAAAACACTTCTGGACTATAACTTGTGGGGCC